CTCCTCCTCCTCCTCCTCCTCCTCCTCCATTTCCTCCTCCCCCCCCACACCAGCTCTGAAGTGTCCATGGTGGTGCTCAGAGTGGAGGTGGGGTTAACCCCAAGTATCGCATCCAGCTCTTTGTAGAATCGGCAGGTTGCGGGGGGAGCACCCGAGCAGCCGTTTGCATCGCGGGCTTTGCGGTAGGCACTCTGCAGCTCCTTGACTTTAATCCTGCACTGCAGTGCGTCCCGGTCATGGCCCCTTTCCATCATGTCCTTTGATACCTTCCCGAAGGTATCGTAATTCCTACGGCTGGAGCGCAGCTGGGACTGTACAGCTTCCTCCCCCCAAACACTGATGAGGTCCAGCAACTCGCCATTGCTCCATGCTGGGGCTCGCTTGGTGCGTGGAGGCATGGTCACCTGGAAAGATTCGCTGATAGCACTCCACACCAGGCTGGGCTGAGCAAACAGGAAGGGGATTTTTAAAATTCCCGGGGAATGTAAAGGGTGGGTCACATGGTTGGTTAACTGAGGCCAGGGCAGTAGAGTTTGAACTGATGACCAGAGTGGCTAGAACAGGCATTGTGGGATACTGCCGAATAATTCTGGAGGCCATTCACAGCGCATTGGGCGGCCACACTGGCGCCGCAGCGCTGCAGCGGTAGCGCAATATTTGCTATTCCTCTCGGAGAGGTGGAGTACATGCAGCGCTGCAACCACGGAGATACAGCGCTGCAAATGCCTTGCCAGTGTGGACGGGGAGTGAGTTACAGTGCTGGGGGCGCCTTTACAGCGCTGTAACTCACAAGTGTAGCCAAGGCCTAAGGAGCCACAAGTACTCCTGTTCTTTTTGCGGATACAGACTAACACGGCTGCTACTCTGAAACCTGTAATAAAGCATTGGGCTTCCTAGTAAAATCCAAGTGCATGGTAAGACTATTTTCCTATGGCCCTCTATTTATCAGTCTATGCTTTGCTACTCTACTGAGAGCCTCCTGACTCTTCCATTCCATCTTTGGATCTACCCTTGATGATGCAGCACTAGGAGCTGTGGATTTGGGTTTTATTAATCAGTGCTCTCTGGAATTGTGCCAACACAAAATATTGTCAGCCATGCATTTCAAAGGCTTCAGTGACTTATTTCATGCCAATGTGAAGGCAACAAAGTTTGATTTTATACACCTGAACAATAAAATATTTTAATATTGAATTTCTGAGTATTCCTTATGAAGATACTGTATAAGATTGTATTAGGTCGTTTGAATGAAGGTATACAGTACATTACTCAAATCAATCTACCATGCATTATAATATGTAATAAATTTAAAACTTTATTCTTTTTTTTCCTTTCAGTTTTACAAAAGTAGCAGGAATGTGAGATCCTTTCTTCATCATCAAACATGTGCAATCACTAGCAACATTTAAAAACAACAACCGGGTGATCACAAGTTAGCTTAAATAGCCCCAACTATCCCTGAAGAGCTACTGTGTGCTGTACAAAAGCTGAATAATCCTCGCAGTGTCAGGGGGTGACTCTTCAGCTGTTCAGGATCATGGGATGATATCCTAGCACTCATAAAACAGCAGATTTAAAACACAAGAACATACACTTAGGTAAAGATCATCATGACAGTATTGGAAGTAATCCACAAGAATTGTCAACACCCTGGAGGCCAAACTAACATGACTGAGTCAAAGAATTCAAGCTTTTACTCAAAACCAAACAAAAGAATACAGCAAATTCACACTGAATTATGCACGTTAGGAATATGAACATTTTCCTTCACATTTGGCTAATTTTTAATCTTTTACAAGATAACTGGGGAAAAGGGGCATTTGTTGAGAGCACACTTTCAATTTAAATACATACTGAGTTATTTACATAACAACAGAACTGCAATCTGGGCAAAAGTATTGCTGATCTTTATTGCCTAGTGATTTGCATAAAATAATTTATTACATTTATGAAGGCACATTGATAGAAAAGGAACCATTTCAACATTTTTTAAAAAAATTATTGTTTTTAATTCATTATAAGGGGATTTGTTTTGGCCCCTGCATTTAGAAAAATACCATTTGGTTTTCAAGACCTAATAATCTTTGCTTTAAATATTTACATGGTAGTTTCTTCCCATTCAAGTTCCACATCACCTACAACAGAAACAAATACATTAAATTAAACTGCTTTTTAAATGAACATTAACCAATTACTGATAACTCTGAAAGAATTTCTGTTGAAAAATGTAAATAGCTTGAACAATGACTGATACCATAATCTGTGTTAAAGGGCAGCAGAAAGCCATAACTTTGCACTTATCAAGCCTCCAAGTGCTTGTCAAAGTATGCTTATTAGTACGAACAAATCAAAGCACCTGCTAGGAAAAAATAACTTTGGAACAATCTGTATCTACTTACCTTCCATGGCATCCAAAGAGTCCATCTTTTGCAGTGCTGAATAATTTACAAAACATATGGATTGACTGCTTCCCTTGCTTGTCAATAGGTCCAAAACACACTGATGCAAAAAAATATATTGTGCCTGTATGATGTAAAAGTGAGAGGTTACTTACATGAATTTATGATGAAAAATTTGCTTTTAATAACAAAATATTTTAACACAATTTTGAATAAAAACCTATAGATGTTCTGAAAGTAATTCTAGTTTTGCAACTTGTTCCAACCCTTTGATAATGTCTTATGTCTGACCCAATTCTGATAATTATGAATGATCAATTATTAGTCTATAGGCATGTTAATTACTATGCACAGTCAAATATACAAAAATTATTCCAAACATAACTGAAGATAATAGACTGCACCACACCATTCCCTCAAAGCTAGTTATACATGAAAAAATGTGTTCAGCTTGTTTTTCAACATTTGATTCAGACTGAAGGAGCTGAACCACATATATCAAGCACTTAAATGAAGAAACTTTCCTCCCTCCTAGCATGCTGAAAGCCAGCAGGGTGCAGTCAAATGCAAAAAATCCACTAAATTCCATTCACTTAATACGTGGCCTGTTCATGACGGAAAAAACAAATAGCTTCTAAAGATAGATGCCTGTTGTAGAGGGCATTTTGAGAACCAGCTTAGAAATAAAAATGTTGACTTTCTTGGCTTTTGTGCATTGGGATAAAACTCTTAATCGTTCAAACTGTTTCTAATACATAATGAGGGTTTCATTTAGATGGTTATGTCTCTGGAATCAGTAATTCTCAAGCCACAGATAAATGAAACAATAAACTTTCAGAGCTGCTGCAGTATATACCGGTAGTAGCAATACATATTTTTTCCATATATTGTTTCCTGAAATCCTTATTGACATGATAGGGTGCTTCAAAATACTCATTGTAGTAAAGCCTTTTTTGGGGAAGATATCTTGTTCTGTAATGACAGGTTTCAGAGTAACAGCCGTGTTAGTCTGTATCCGCAAAAAGAAGAACAGGAGTACTTGTGGCACCTTAGAGACTAACAAATTTATTAGAGCATAAGCTTTCGTGGACTACAGCCCACTTCTTCGGATGCATATAGAGTGGAATAAATATTGAGGAGATATATATACACACACATACAGAGAGCATAAACAGGTGGGAGTTGTCTTACCAACTCTGAGAGGCCAATTAAGTAAGAGGGAAAAAA